GCCCCCCTGACCGTGCCCTTCCCCATGTGCTCCCTGCCTTTAGTCGTAAGTCGCTGGCGGCTCAGGCTGCGGGCACGCGGGCACCCGGGCGCGTCGGGCTGCGGGTGCCGGGCGGGAAGGGCGGCGCGGGACGGACGGGGCGCCCTGGGCCGGGAGAGTTTGTCGCCGCGCTCTGCAATACGGTCCCTCTACAGCCCCCAGCTACAACCCAGTTTACTGCGAGGAAAGAAGGAAAGTCAGAGGAAGGAAAACGCCCAACCCAACGTGACCCCTGGCCCAGCAAACCCTCTCCTGCTAGCTGAACCCCCTCCTTCTGCTTCTCCCTAGGGAGGGTTGTCATTTTTGCGCCTCAGGCCTTTGAGCAGAACTTGCTTGCTATGGGGTGATGCGGGCTCTCTACCCTACCGACCGCCAGGTAATGTTCCTTTCGTTGGGCCTGCCAGTAATGTTTGTGGTACCACAAACGGGCGAATAGCGAGCGGGATTCTTCTCCTGGGTGGTGGCTTGGAAAGGAAGCAAGGGAAGGCTTAGTCCCGCCAGAGCCAAGTGCTGGGGCAGTGGCTGAAATAGCAGGTAGGACGTCGGAAACTCGCGCGCTGGGAGGCGCGGCGGGGCAGCTGCGGTGGCACCGCCGCCCGGGCGGTGTGGGCAGAAGCCCAGAGGCTGCTTGTAGGTTTCAGCTGGCAGTGTCGTTTGGGCGACCTGTCTTGACAGGTTTTTGTTTCTATCTTGGCAAGTGAGGTGACATGAAAGCCATTATCTCAGGTTTCAATTTACTTATGGAGATGGAGGTGAATTACCGCGTCTTTCGTTCCTGGAGTCCGTGCCAAAACACCTGGGAGCGCCCAGAGTACCTGCTCAGCAAGAACACTTCAGTAAATTACATCTCTCAGTCCCTGTCGTTGGAGTGCTGAGACCCATGTGAATAGGAAGACTTTTTACCTCAGTGGGGCCATTTGAGATGCTGCTTTCGGCGGTGGCCCTAGAGGAAAATGTTACATATAAAGTGATTTCCCCCTTACATGAAAGTCTTCCTAAGTGGGGAAGAGAAATCTGTAACGTAATCGTGCAAGAAGTCCCCAAATAAATAAACAAAGCTTTATAAGCAGCTGTAGGTATTAACACAGATGTGTAGCAGTGATTCATACACTTCAGCACGCTCAGAATCAACAGCAGAGATTTTTAAAAGAAAGATGGCTGCACCCTATCCCCTAGAGTTTCTGATTCATACCTTTATAAGAAATGTTCATTTTTAACAAGTTTCCGGATGATATTGAGAAGCTGCTGATTTGTGGAACCATACACCAGTGCAGGAGCTGGCACACCCCAGGCACAGGCGAAGTCTGTCCTGCCGGCTGTTTTTGTCCAGCCCTGGAGTTAAGAAGAGTTACTAGAAATGAATATTTTCTATCCACTTGATGGTAGTACCTAAGTATGTTTAAGTCTCAATCAAGCCAAACACTATCCTAAGAAAAGTAGTTTTATTTTTCTTCTTACTAGACATGTATGACAAAAAATTATACTCTATCATTATTATTGTTACATTTTGAATATTAGGAAAAGTTGTGGAAAATGTGTTTGTACTGCCTAACAAATATTCATGATTTTGCCTCTTGGTTCATTAAAACCTAAAATATTTACTCTCTACTTCTTTACAATAAACTTTTGCAGACCCCTATTCTAAAATTGGACTCACTTCTCTATACCATGATAAAAGCAGATAGTAGCCAGATGCATGGAAATTGTGACCTGAGTTTGAATGTTTTAATAGGAATAATACAAAAAGCAGTCAAAGACAGTGAAAAGAATGTTTTCATTTGGCCATATCTCTTAGAGGATTTCAGTAACTTGTGTATTGTGAGGATTAAAGGAAATAATAGACTTGAAAATGACTTTCTAAAAAAGCAACCATACAGGCTTTTTATAGAAAATCATTCTTTTTTAGAAAGGCATTCTTGAATGAAGGCCCTCATTGTGGGGAAAGTAGTCTGTAGCAGCATCAATCAAGATTAGAACCAGCATTTTCTAGAAAAGGTCAGATTCTTAGCATCATACATGGGTTTAAATCAGGCTTCCTCACTTACTAGCTTCGATAGCACTTTATTTACTCTGGCTGACCCTGGTTGCCTCATTTGTAAAATGAACATACCCATACTTGTTTTGTAAGAGAGTTATGAAGATATGGACTTATACAAGTAATGCCTGGCCTCAGTAATCAGCATCACTATTATTAATTATAATTTCCATTTATCATTATTGTCTGTTGGACATAGAAAATGAACCAACAGCTCTGATCTCAGGAGACAGTGACATAGTCTAAGGCAGTGGTTCTCAAACATTTTTGGTCTCAGAAACCCTTCGTTCTCCTAAACATGATTAAACACCTAAAGAGCTTTTGTTTATGTGGATTATATCTACCAGTAATTATAGTAACAATTAACACTAATAAATTGTTAAAATATTATTGCAAAACAAGGTAACCAAATATACTACTTGTATATATGGGTTGTTTACATAGGTGTTCACATAGGTGTTTTTCCTTCATATGAAAAAGAACACCTTGGGATTTCAAACTGATTTAATGAATGATAATAAGGTTTCAGAGATTACCTCAGATACAATAGAAACCAGTATGTTAAGAGCACAGAAGTACTGAAAACAGTCCCTGAAAATGCACATGTGTATACCCCCGACCTACTACCTTAGGAGGGCCTAGAAAATGCAAGACTACCAAAGCTCATATGTATTATCTGTGGCAGTGATAATGTCATCACAAGTCAAATAGCCTCTGTAAACCCTTGTGCATCTGTGAGAGAATGAGAGTGAGAAAGGCACTGGTTTTTTTCCCCCTTCATATGAAAAAGAGAACGAGAGAGAAGGACCTCAAGCCAAGATCCTCCCCCAGCCCCACAGATGTGCCAGGCCAGGCACCTGCAGCAGACAAGGCACTAACCCAGTCTTCCCACTTGGTTTTCAGCAGCATACAGCAGCGCCCCCTACTGCCTGCACAGTCACAACTGGGACTAAATAATGTCTCTTAAGAAAATAGTCTTGACTTTGAGGACACCCTAAATAGGTATTGGAGACCACTCCTGCCCCCAGACACACACCTTATGAAAACCACTCTTCTAAGGAATGAACTTAACAATTGGAAACTAAGGCTGTATCTGAAGAGGGGGGACATTTTTAAAAACTTACTCATTGCATAAACATTGTATTTTATTAAGTTGGTGAAAAGTGTGTTAGCATATTATTTTTAAGATTAACTTTGCTATATGCTGGATTAGTACAAGATACCTAACTTGATTGGATTTTAAATTTTCAATTTGATGGAATATAGAGAGACTATGGAATGAGCTTTAGAGGCAGTTTGTGGGCGCATTATCTAATGCATATCATATATTTTCATCAGAATTCTTTTTATCTTAAAAAACTGCAATATCCAGGAGGTTAATAGGGAAGCAAGGATGGATGATAGAGGGTGTTCATGTGTACATGAAGTGTGAGAGCTGAGAGCTCCAAAACCAGGTAAAGATAAATACAAGCCTGTGCAGTTGCTTATATCAGGATCCACTGAGTTAGAGAAGTGGTCGACGAGGAAGAACATCCCGCATGTGTTAGGTAGCTCTTGTGCGTAGAGAAGAACATGTGGGATGCTCCTTCCAGAGGCTGTGAGAGGTATGTAAGAGATGGTAGGCAAGAGGTGGGCCCAGGGGAAAGGATCTGAAGTGGGTTTAAAAGGTGAGGTATGCAGTAATATGAGGGATGAACTGGAGGCATCAGAATAGAGAGAGATCTCTCCCTCAGGCAGAGCCAGCCAAGAGTCTCCCAGTAGGCAACAGCAACATCTTCTCAGATCAGTCCTCTGTATAAATTGAGCAACTTAAAAATGCCAGGTGTAAACAGTACTCTTTCTTTAACCAGGATATGGATATATTTATTTGTGTTTGTTCACATACCACTTTGTTTTTATAGGGTTGAAAAGGACTTAAAAATTTGCACAAGATAAAATAAAAGAAATGTGTGTGGGTGAGAAAGGACACTAGAGACTTAAAAAATGAGATTAAAACAGTACAAAACAAGTTTACAAAATATGGATCAAGCTAGAACAATACATTTCTAATACGAATCAAGTAAATTGAAAATACAAATATGTGCAATTATAAATGACATGAAAATACAAATAGCCTTGGGACCAGCAGTTAGCGTAATGGCTATGTCACTGGACTCCCATGTAGTCAACCGCGGTTCGTGTCTCAGACCCAGTGGCTTAAAACACACTGGGTATGTGTGCATGTGCGTGTGCCCAAGATCCTGAGAGGAGAATGGAGAGAAGGGATTGTGACATGGCCATCCCCCCTGGGTGGTGATTTCTCGCTTTCTGTCTCTCTGTCTCTCTCTCTCTCTGGTGAGCGCAGGTGCCCTATGGCAAAAACCTCTCCATAAAAATAAAGAAAAAAATACAAATCGCCTATCATTGCCATGAATAAATACTGCATAGAAATAAAATGTCCTGGGGCAGATGGTATGGAGTTAAGGAAGCTGGTTCTCACATGGCCCACTGTGCAGTTCAAGTTTCAGACCAGGAGGCTTGAAAAATACACTGGGCAGGTGTGCGTGCATGCCCAAATCCTGAGGAGAGAATGGAGGAGAAGGGATTGTGACATGGCCATCTCCCCTTAGGGGGAGGTGACTTCTCATTCTCTCTTTCTCTCACTCCCTGGTGAGTGCACTCCATACTAAAATTAAAAATAAATTATAAAGGGCTGGCAGGTGGCATGGTGGTTAAGGGCACTGGACTCCCACATGGCCAACCACATTTAGAGTCCTGGACCTGATGACTTTCTCACTTTCTCTCTCTCTCTCTCTCTGATTCAGTTTAAATAAAGTTAAATAAAATAATTCTTAAAAAAAGTAAAACAAAATTTTTAAAAGGAAAGAAAATATCCTGTTTGGATTATATAGATGTCATCCAGTTACTTAGGTCTTTGCTAGCCAACCATTCTCAAATAGTTGGAATTATTGGGGGAGGACTTATTCATGGAAAGTGTTTATGAAAAAACTATGCCTGGATTTCTATTTTTTTGCATCAAAACCCATTCTTCAATTTCATTTTTTCATGAATATTTAGGAGTCTGCTCATATATTTTACCACATTCCACTTTGGGAAGAAACGGGCAAATATAAACAAACTCATTAGTTTTTAAATCAACTTAAGCATCCACTTACCCATCCACTTATCCATTCAGCATGTATCTGGTACCTACAACATCCAAGGCACTTTGTAATTTGTCATATAAATGCCGTGTGTGCCCTCATAAGCTATAGTATGGGAGCGGAGAGTAATGATTAATGCCATAGAAGAGTTTAGAGGAAGGAAGGAGGCACTCCTAAATGGTATAAAAATAATATTAATAGCTAATTACTGAGTTATATGCTAGAACCTGTTCTCAGGATTTTACTTATACCTTCTTACTCAAACTTGCTAACAACCTTTGACAGTAGGTACAGTTTTCCCCATTATAAAGGAAACAATGACTTCCATAGTCTAAAGACAGGATTCTAACTCTGAAGGTCAGGTCCTGAAGCTGATGTACTTGGGATCAAGCACCTCGAAAGGGCATTCTAAAGAGGGTCATATTTGACGTGGACTTAAAGGGAGGTAAAATTTGGGCCTGTTACTAATTTCCATCTCAAAAATGATAATGACCATGCTTGGTACGTAGGATTTTTATAAGGATGAAAGTAAATCATAGTGCATTCAAAGCCAGAGAGAAAGAGGGAAAAGAACAGTGAGAGCAATTTCATGTCAATAAATTAGGAAAACTTGGATTCATGAACAATTTCTAGAAAAGCAAAACCAGTCTGACTGGACTCAAGAAGAAACCTAGGCCTAGAGCTATTAAAGAAATTAAAAACTACTCTCCAAAAAATAAAAAAAATAAGTGAACATTACAGTTAGTTTTATAGATGAGTTTTAGCAAACCTTTAAGAAACATATCAACTCAATCTTTTACAAGCTCTTTCAATGAAGTAAAAAAGGTTGACACCTTTATCTTACATTTTGAAGAAAATATGTACTTGAAACTAAACCTTTATAAAGGCAGTATGAGAAAAGAACAATATGGAACAGTCTCCCTGAATATAATAGCATGATTCATGTCAGTGTATGTAGGTATAGTTTGCAAGGCTCAGAGAAGGCTACCCAGACCACAGGGAAGCTAAGACAGTTGCAGTTGGTTGGACATGGATAAATCAGCTTATATTTTTGTGGGTGTTTCCCCCTAGTCTGAAAAGAGGCTATCATCTACAGAAAAGTAGCATTCTATGCTTAAGAGTAAGTAGAGGGACCAGCAAGTGGCATGGTGGTTAAGGCGCTGCACATTACCACATGCCTGACCACAATTTGAGTCCTGGACTTGGTGACTTGCTTTCTCATTTTCCCTCTCTTTCTCTGTCTCTCTTTTCCTCTCTCTGTCTCTGTCTCTCTCTGGTCAAATTAAAATAAATAAATAAATAAATAAATAAATAAATAAATAATTCTTTTTTTAAAAAAGGATGTAGAACAAGTTACATGAGTTGATCTGTTTGTTTTGTAAGTCACCTCATGTTTTGTCATTGTGGTATTTACTGTCTTCACATTGATCCAAAGCTTCTGTTTTGTTGGTGTCTCCATACATGTGACGGTTCACAAGGATGACTTATTTCTGAGTGAACTAATAAGAGAGAATAAAAAGCAGATGGAGGAAAGTAAGATCTAAATTAAGTATGGGTATAAGGATCTCAGCTGGAAAGAGAATCTGTACTGGGGCCAGCGTGGTGATTGAGCACTGATTTCCCAAATGGGCCGACCTTGGTTCGAGGTCACTTGAGGGTCACACAGGGTGTGTGCGCATGCATTCCAAAAAATCCCAGAAGGATAATGGAGGACTCCCCCTGGGGAGTGATGTCTCACTTTCCCTCTCTCTGTCTCTCTCTGGCAAGAGCACATACCCAATGGCAAACAACTAAAAAAGGCAAGGAAATCACACCTGGTGTGTGTGTGTGTGTGCATGTGTGCGTGCATGTGTGTGTGTGTGTGTGTGTGTGTGTGTGTGTGTGTGTGCCCAAAGGAAAAAAACCGGCGGCAGGCCCACCCCCCTTGGGGGGGGGGGATGATTTCTCATTTTCCCTTTCTCTGTCAGTCTGTCTCTGGTGAGTGCATACACCCTATGCACTCACCTTAAAAAAAAAACCTTAAAAAAAAAAAAAAGAGGAAGAAGAAAGAGAATCTGGATTTGTGGAGGGGTGGTAGACCTGCTTGTGAAAGAGCCAATGGATCAGGTTCCCACTTCAGCTCTCTTGGCATGGCTTGGCAGTGACCTGGATACTCCAGCCAACAGGTGGAACAGCCTTCAGGGACCCAGTCAGACCAGGTCTCCCGTGTGTGCTCAACTTCCACTGTGCTCCTAGGCCTGCCCACCACCTTCCAGGCTCCTCGCTGGCCCCCACCAGCTGCAGTGGCCTTAGCTGCTCATAAATGTACCAAAACCGTGTATTCCAAACCAAGTTGTCATGTTCTTAAAGAAAAGTAAGTGAATTTATTGCTGCCATCAGCCTTTCACTATTATAAGGGATTTTTTTTTTCTTCCAAACAGTATCGCGCTTACTATGGAGCATTTAAAGCAATTGATGAGGAAAACAGAAGCTCAGAAGAAAAGGACGACCTCTTAGCCTTGCGTTTTCTATCTGTGATTTCCATCGTGGACCCTTGGATTTTCATCATTTTCAGAACTTCAGTATTTCGGATGTTTTTTCATAAGATTTTCATAAGACCTCTTATGTACAGAAATTGCCACAACAATTCCTGCCACACTAACACAGAATCCACCCTGTGACAGTGCTTTACACTCTGGTAAGCTGAAGAATATGTCACATATGCAAAGAATCAAGATTTTTTTTAAATTACAGGTTAAATCCTTAAGAGTTATCTCCCTGAGGGTTAGCAGGAGATGCGGTGGTTAAGTTGCTGGACTCCCTGGTGACTGACGGTGTTTGAGTCCTGCACCTGGTGGCTTGAGAATCATGTGGGGCGTGTGTATGCATGCCCAAAATCCTGGAAGGAGACTAGAAGAGAAGGGACTGTGGCATGGCCATTCTCCCTGGGAGGTGATTTCTCTATCTCCCTTTTTCTAGACGCACAAATGCCCTATAGAAAGTACTTTAAAAAGAAAAGTTCTCACCCATAATGAAAGCATCTAAATGTATTTCCAAAAGTATCTGAAAAGGCTTGTGTTGTCACTCTATAAGAGGAGTTCAAAAGTTCATGGAAAAATGAATTAAAGTATTTAAAGTATCCAGGCATAGTGTTTTCATAATAAATATTTCCCATAAACTTTTTAGAGACTCGCCCCCAAATTTATAAGCCATTACAGTGCATTTATTTAAAATTTTGTGTTATAACAGCAACTAAAATTTCTTAATACTGCAAACAATGTTATAAGTCTTAAAGCAACAGTATTAATTGTCCCATCATTTGTACTTGGCTTTCCTAATATTTTACGCAGCCTCTGGACCGATAGGCCTTTATTAAATATGGCACTGGCTGCAATTATGTGGTAGGGGATTTTATAAAGCATTACCATTTCCTCCCCTGCTTATGTCTAGTGAAGCCTCCTTTATTTTATATCGTAATTGCCCATCTGGTTCTTTTCTTTGCCAGTTGATCTAAGTACAGTCTAAACTATAGATGCCCCTCAGAGGAGTGAGGCAGGAACTAGGACCAGCCCCTGTCTAGGGGCGCCCTCTGCCTCACATAGACACACAGGCAAAGACTATGGCCCACAGCTCAGAGAAGAAGAAAAAGTCATTTTTATCTTTTGAAATTCAGTCTGTTGCATATTGAGCAAGGGTGCCCACGGGGATCATAATTTGGGAGTCAGAGATCTCCCTGAGTTTCTTCAGTTTTTTGGAAGTTCTATTTCATGGATTTATCATATTGATGGATTCTTCGGGGAAGTATTGACACTTCTTTGAACAACAGGGATGTGTGACTTAGCAGAGAGCCGTGTTTACTGTGTGGCTGGGTGGGACAGCAGGGCATTGGACAGAGTCCTCCCCAGGACTTAGTAGACCTCAGAGGAGGGCAGCAGTGATGGACTTAACTTCTGCCTTAACAGCGACCTATTTAAGATAGCCATAGTCTGCTCTTTGTAGACACAGGAAGATCTTATTGAGGTTCCTGAGCGCTACACTTTCTAAACTGGAGCAGCAAGTAGCTCAGAAGGAGCACAGCTGAGCACTTTAGTCGTACACTTCAAAGTTTACAAAGGTTAGCAACACTATGACCTAATGGGAAGGGTGAGGGGAAGCAGCTGCAGCTGAATAGGAAACTGAACCTAGCTTGCACCTTGGGTAAAAGGACAGATGAAGGGATGTTCCAGGGGCTTCCATCTCTGGGACCCCCTTGTGCTCTAAAACACTGGACTCTGAGACGGAGAGCCTGCTACACTTGAAGTCTCTAGGTCTCCAGAGCAGTGCAGCGATCCCTCCCAAAAGCCAGCGTGCCTTGTGTCCAGCCTAGCAGCGACCTCATTTCTTTCACTTCTGGTTCTTCTCAGAGATGGTATTAACCTATGTGTGTGTGT